AACGCAGTGAAGATAAAGAAACGCAGGCTATTGCTTGAAACGGAAACATAGAAGATACCAGTAAATAAAAAAAAAAAAAAATATTGGGCTTAGAAAACTTGAGAATTGCGTGCAATGATGATTTAAAACGAGGTGTGAGGTGTTAAAAAGAACTGAAAATTCCATAAAAATGTTTAATAGTCCCTATCATGTCAATCCTCTGTGTAACAAAAACACTGAATCTTTATCCGATAATTATCGCCTATGCTGAAGTAAATTGTCTAAAACGTTTAAGAGAAATCCTTCTTAATGAGGAAATAATACCGAAGCATGTTGCAGGAGTAATAAACCGATAAAGTTGATTTAAAAGTGAATAAAAATGAAACTAAAATTTATTATATCTCTTATGAAGCAGTAATTTGTAAAGATAACTTAACCAAAAAATAAAGACTCTTTTTAATGCCTCATCTAGTGATGTTAATTTTGCTTCCCTTAATGACTATCTGAAGCTTTGTATGAACTTAATACTACATTTGCTAGTATTGCCTTAGTTTTGATTAAATTTGATTGAACAGAGTCTACTTGACAATTAATATTGAAGGTTCATTCCTGCAAATAGTATTAGCTCCAGAAGATGGAAATGCTGTCAGATTTCTAAGGAGTAAGGATGACACGACTATGGAACCAGAAGTTCTACGAATGACGCCGGTCAGTTTTGGACTAAGGTCGAATCCATTCTTGATACACAACATTGAAATACTGCATGAAACGTACGAAGAAATTTACCCAGCCGTGTTCCAAATTCTAAGTAATAATTTATATGTTAACTATTTTATCCATTATAATGTTCCTCACTACTTTGGCTATAATAAAATGCCGAGGAACCTACTGAACTAAGTAGCGATTTATCGCTGAGTTCAAGTAGACAACGTAGACACGAGGGGAAAGGTTAAAATACCCTTTTATTCATTCACAAAAATAACAGATGGCCCCTTCTCGGGCTTACAGGAAAGCCCGAGTCGGGCTTTTAATTCAGGATAAGAAAATAAGAAACTAAACTAATGTTAACTAAAATAGACTTAACCGAAGTTAGACACAAATATCTAAGACACCCGGCCCTTAAACTAGCCGGCGCATATCAGGAGGCATGTACAATACGGCCGAGCGCAACAGATTCAAGAATGAGATAGCCAGAAGGCAAACATGCGCCACTAAGCAGTCCTCTTTCGAAGTAAGTAGAACTCCCTTTAAATACTATTTCTACTCAATTGCATTCAAAGCGATTCTAAAAATTCATTCTGAAAGGGAGTCGTAAGTGGGAAGCAAGAATTGAAAGGAAACAGTTTCAAAATTAGAAAAAAAAAAAAAAACTGTTATAAAATTAAAATACACCTTACACCATAATTTGCAAGATGAATAATCTGCCTTTGCAGTACGTCGGTAGGTGAAATTTAGTATATTATCTAGGCTGAAACTTCTTTCAAACATCTAGATTAGTTCAGTAAATTCGAAATAATCTGGAACTTCTTAAAGCTATTAATTTATTCCTGGTCCCATTCCATAATTATTCGCTACTGGATCAAATGCAACTCTCGAAATTCGAAAGTGTTTGCAGAAAGTAGAGTTGAAGAAATAAAAACGCTTTCTAATTCCAAATTGTTTCGAATAGTAGAATCACTGTTCCGAAAAAGAAGAACCTTCGGATTTGCTGTCTAAAAGAAACAACTTAACTGCTCTGAAGGACAAAGAACTATGGTGAACAGTCCGTCCTGAACAAGAAAAGAAGACCACTGGCCGCGACCGAATCATGAACTTACCTGAATCTGAATTTAAAGTAGATAAATCCATTACTTTAATTTTAGGTAGACTCAGAAACTCTTTTGAAATTCAGAAATTCAGCAAACTCTTTTGAAATTCAGAAAGATATGACTAATCACAGTTTGCATTCAGAGATTTATTAATAATATGCAGAATCCACACAACAGGAAGAATGGCTGCTTAACTGCAGAATTTCAGCTGGCTGATCAGTACTGGATTATAAGTACACAGAATGGAGTACTTTCGTCAAAAAAAATTGCTTTTAAATGAAAGGAAAATCCCTGCCAAAAATTCTGTCATTGTGACTTTTTTTAACCCTATTTCAAATAAAAGGGGAATAATATTAATAGTAGGATGTCTTCAGCTTGCTTTCTTGTCACATGTCTGATTTTATTATTAAGGACTGCGATGAAAGAGTAAAGCATGGAGATGTAGCACAAACCCTAAGCGTATCTAAGGGAAAAGACATGGATTTTAAAAAGCGAAAAAAAGGATTAAGAGTGTTATCATTTTATGCCAAAATTTTGTGCAAAGCCAGTGCCTCAGATCCTTGCACCACTCCCAGCTGACAGAATATCAAAAGCCCTATAACTTTCAAAAGTTTATGCTAGATTATTTAGAACCGTTATACATTAAACATCAAAACACCACGAGGAAGCCTTAAATACTGCTCTTCATTTGTGCCGCAATCTGAGCGATACATTTGAAATTGGCACTTAACTTGATACCTTTGATATTTCTACAAGCCTTTCAAAACTGTCTCGGATGGAGAGGCGTTTGCAGCACAAATACTGTGATACTACGATGACATTCCACAAGGCAAACTGAGAACTGAATCTTCTGTAGAAAATCAATAGAGTTGGAGAGGTACAAAATTTCTTTGGGAAGTTATTTACCAAATGGTAATTTATTGTCTAAACGGCTGCCTGGTGGAGTGGGTTTTGGGAATGCTTAGTGAGATAACTTAAGATGCCTCTTAGAATTTTAGGAAGAACACAAGTTTCATTTCAAGACCTGAAAGTTATATTGATCGAGAAGCAATTATCAACTCACTTATGTTTTCAGTGATCCAGACGAGCAAAGACATCAACCACTTCATAATATCCTGATCGGACGGGATTACTGTTTCTTCCTCAATCAAATGAAGAGATTCTTTCCTCTGAGTCTCAAACTTTTGAAAATGAGAAGACACGAAGATTATTTACATAATCGAATTTGGAAAATATGGAAATCATCCTATCCTTTTGAACTTAGCTCATCAATTCCGACCAGTCAATCGGCAAACTAAACTTGGAGAACATCGTGATTTTGATAAGCGATGACAATTAACCTTAGACTTTCAAGGCGAATGGGCATTGTGATAGAAACATATCCCAGATGTGATGGCTATATCCATGCAAGCACTGTGAGACTCCCGAATTAAACTCTCTTTAGAAGACCTGTGCAACTGCTATGTCCTGTGGAATTCTCAACCAGAACTTGAGAAGGTTTTGGTCTCCTGATGAATTTTCAGCCTTAAAAGATTTTGAGAACTCTAGACCTGTAGATGGCGCTTACGCCACAATTGTTTTTCTTTTGAGATGTAGTTTGTAAGCATAGTGTGTGTCGTCGTAAAAAACAAATCCATTTATTGTGCCAAATAAAGGATTATTATCCAAATGTAAGTAATTCAAGTGCTTTCTTAAGAGACTCAGTGAATGACAGAACTAGATAGAAACTGTCAGTTCATTTTGAACTGAATTTAAAGATTAACTTATATTTTAATGCTGATGAACATGGAGTTCTGTTTCAAATAAAGATCTCAGCCCAGTTATCACAACATTACAAAATCAGTCCAGTCACTGGACGTCTCACTCTTACTTTGAAAAAGAAAAATCTACTGCATTTCTCTTTGGAAGAAAGCATCATTATGAAATTCCCAGCCTTCTCATGTAAGGCATGGAAGAAAATTCCCACGCTGAGATTCAATCGCTCCTACATGCCATGCTAGATGCTAGATTTGCATTCGTTCTGCACATTAACAAGCCGTATTTCTTCGATTTTAGGACACACCCTTTTATGTTAGCCCAACGAACAGACAAGGGCAAAAGACACTCAAGTTGTTAAAAAAATGACTAATAGATTTAATTGCTCGAAACATATTTCTTTCCATAGACAATAAACTACTTTTTAACAAAATCATTATGCGACCAATATTAAACTAGTCACATGACGCATATGCATTTGTATGTCATTCAACAATCATTTAAAATTCAACAATAAAAAAGTAAATAAATAAAAAAACCTGCAGCAAAGCATAATGTTAAGATAAATCGCCGATGCTTATAAAAACAGCATAATACCTAAGAATTTTGGCATCACAAGTATTAAATCCAAGTCCTTCTTTATTGCAGTGGCTTGTGTGTCCGAAAAAGAAGCATGATAAATGATTACAATAATTTGTATACTGTAACGGTAGCTCTGCGTACCCTTCAGCTAAGGTGTTTAAAGGTTCTTGCAACGCCAGATTTTTGAAAGGATGATAACTCTCGAGCTCCCTCAGCTCACTAAGTATGAAAAATTTGCAAAGCGAAACACACAACCATTCCGTCGGACTGACCTGCACCCAGCCCTTTAATCATATTCAATAAGTATAAACATTCTTACGACAGTGAGCTGCAACATGCCACTTCTTGTTTAAGGCTTCAATGGGCCTTGAATGGAGAATTATCTAAGAAACGTTATGTAGGCATTTATATTATACAGAGAGAAACATGGAAACTTCATGTAACTATTCCGTTTGCTGGTAACTAAACCTAGGGCAAATGCTCGGGGTCATAAATCCATTCATCAAATTAGTGGACGTAAATGCTACGAAATCAAATATCACAGTCAAATAAATTCCATATAAAAGGCCTGTGATATTTTTTTCTCAAGTTCTGGTCATATATTATGATGTTATGTGTTCTATCCAAGCTAATTGAGAGATCTACCTTTTTGCACATGCACGTGTTACACAGGAAACGTCAGCATATTCATCTGAAGATAAGCATGAAAATTTATGAGTATGCATGCCTTTATCCTAGCGTTATGTCGCTATAATTATTAAAATATGTAATAATTTTTTCTAATTTTAAAATGCTGCAAATATTAAGATGCTTTATTTTCTAAACTTTTAAGGTATTAGATTATTCTAATTCTAGTAATTGTTTTAAAAAGAATACCTTTTCTCATAAATTTTGACTTGGACATGTCAAAAAGATCTGGAATGGGCACAACTTCTCTGTTAACCATGTTGTTTGTCTTCATTCTTTCGAACGTGCAGTGTTCGACAATGGCATCTATAACCTCGTCTTCTAAGGATTGTTCCAGAAACTCACAAAGTCTATGAACCATGCCTTTGAGGTCCTGACAGTAACAAAATAGGGTATTGATTAGCCTTGTGAAATTATATTGGTTTTAATCATAAATTTTCACATAATATTATTTCTAGAATATTAAATTCCTATGCAAAATTAAAGGATAACTTTGAAAATGATACGTAACGCGCATTACCGATTAAAGATTCTGTAAAAGTAAATGTAGGAGTTGAATTGAATTTAATATTGCTAAAATATGTTCCTGCGTCTGAATTAACTCAGAAATAGCACAAATGTGGAATAGGTGAGACAATGCTGAACGAATGAGTATTAAAATAAAATTATTACAGTCTAGATTTAAATAAGTTTATGATTTAATGAGAACTTACATCTTATTAAGAGGATTCATTGACGGCATTTAGGAAGCGTTTATGGTATAATGATAATTGAAGCGTTTATGGTATAATGATAATTGAAGCGTTTATGGTATAATGATAATTGTTATGGTGAGTTACAATAAGTATATAGTGCGCAAATTAATTGGGCCAAAGCGAGTTTTTCACAGAATTTTAAATTGGTTGCAAGCTGGGGTCAGTAGGTCCATCAAAGCAGTTTCATTTGCTTTAATGTTGTCTGGATGTTTGCTTTCGACTACTTGGAACTAAATTTAGATAATAAATTAGGATTATTGCACCATTAAGTATTTCTGTTAATAAGAGGAAGTTACTTTTGTACACTTTCTAAATACGTTTTGCATTCGTTCATTTTAGTGTATTAAAAATGGATATAAAGCCTAGAAATATTGCAAAGATTATGGCACTGAACAAGTCACACATCCGTAACTGTAAGAAATATTGCTTTGGCAGTTGTTGATGGAAAAGTGAGTATTTCTCGAATTCTGAGGAGACACGTTGAAATTGGACCATTTTCTCCAGAAATGAAGGGCAAATGTGGAAGGAAATGAAAAACAATTCCAAAATCTGATCTATTCGTTGTCCAAAATAACATCATAATCGAATAAAAACTAGCCACTTTAAAAGAGATCTATTTTCTATTGGTATTCATACTCATTCTTCAAAGGTACGGCTGGTCGGAATGTGAGAAAGCCAATTATAAGTATTATAGTGACATTAGGTTATTTCGAAGCAGAGAAATGAAAAATGAGCAATGCTGTCGCCGAGACGTGAACCTCTGACCCCTCGAATACGCACCGAGCGTGCTGACCATTACACCACAAAGGCATGCTAAGAAGGCAGGAGAAATGCCTTATATTATAAAACAACAACGTTTGACATCAAATAAAATAAAATTGATTGTTGTTGAGTATCTTCGGCCATAAATTACGGGACAAAAAGCATGTTGTGCAATGAGACTCATTTATTTGCTCATGGTTATACATCTAACGTTGCTAGACGAAGCAAAGGTGAATCAATAAAATCTCAACATATCCAACAAACCCTAATGGTAAAAACAAATGGTTTGGGGTTTTCACTGCAGATGACACTGGAAGTCACTGTTGACTGAATGAGGAATTCAACGAAGTGTAGAGAAATTTAAAATGTAGGATTGTGCCATTCTGGAAAACCTTTTCAGGGATACTTGAGCATGACTTGGTTCAAAGGCTAGTTCGAAATCTGTCAGATAGTTCGTGCTGGAAAATATAGTTATTGTGCTGGACTGTTCTGGAAATTCATTCGACTTACCCATCAACACATCAAAACCTCATGGCACATTCTCAAGCAAAATGAATTGTACGACAAAAGAGCGCATTGTTAAGAATGCAATAAAATGTGTTGGCAAAATAAAGAATAAGAATTATATGCTCGGGACTAGTAAAGTTTGTGCCCAAGCGTTTAAGTAAGGACTAGTAAAAGTTTGTGTCCAAGTTAAGTTTCTTTAAGTCATTTCTGCTAAAGGAGGACATATTTCTTATAAATTTTATTATTATCACAATATATGAAGGCATGTACACTGCTCAAAAAAAAAAAAAAAAAAAAAAAAAGGACAGTGCTATATCTCCCGTTCTACTGGGCCGATTGACAAAATTCAAATTGCGTTCTTCATGTCTCGAAAGCGCGACTTAGGATATATATTAGATTTATATATAGCACTATTCTAACATAGGTATTTTGACACAAAATCGGACTTTTTCTGAAATAACATACCAATTTTTTTACATATTTCGATTCTACAACTCAAATTACGCCTAAATATGAAATTTTGTAAAATTTGGAGCGAAATTTACGGAGAAATTCACAAATTTATGTTGGCACTTTTTTTTTCAGTTTGCGCCAAGAATAGTTCACTTGGCGAACTTCTTAATATATGGCAACCTAGTTTCCTTTCCCGTGAGAGGAAAAAAAGTCACCATCGTTCCTTTTTTCCAAATAATATTCTTTATATTATATTTTTAATTATAACTTTATTATTTTAAGTAATTTTTTTCTTTTCGAATTTCATTTTAATTGTTTAAGTTGCATTTTTTTTTTTTTTTTTTCGAATAACTGTTTTAAAAAATTTCTATTTACCTATTCGAACTGCGTAAATAAAGGTGCAGCGTTTATTTTTTTTTTTTTTCAAATAGTTTTCTTTATATATATTTTTTATCATAGTTATTATTTTAGGTCAATTTTTAAATTTTTATACTTTTATTTTAATTGTTTGTGTTGCATTGTCTCTTCAGATAATTGTTTGTTTTAAAATTTTCTATTTATTCCTTCGAACTGAGCATTTTAAATATATTTATTAATATAAATTTTCCAGAATTTGATTTTATTTTATTTATTTGAATTGCGTTTCTTTCGGAAGAATACTTTGTAACCCAGACTACGATGCGTTTGAAAACTGCATATATTAAAAGAGAAAATACAGTAAAGCACAGTTTTAACACGCCTTTCAATGTTCCGTTCAGAAAAAAGATATATATAAATAAGAGAGATGTATAACCGACATTTTAACTTAGGATGATGACTTGCATACACTGCTTTAAACAGTTTTATCATTGTGCCCATTGCTTTACACAATTTTATCCTACATTTGGTTTCTTAAAATGTTATTCATATTTTAGTCAAATATTTTATTTTTGAAATCGCAAGAATCAAATATCATAAAAAAAGGTTTTAAATTTTAAAAAAAATACAAATACTAAATTTTACGCAAAAATTTATTTTCTCTTTTCTTCAGGCATTCTACTTTATTCTTGCTCTTTTTCTTTAGGCATTCTGCAAAGTATATTAAAAAAAAAGCATCCAACTTTTCGAAATATCTTGGTATTTCTGACAATCATTTTAAATAAAGTTATCGCCTTCCATTTCATAAAGGCCCACAAACGGCCGAGCGGTAAAGTCGCTGAACACTGGTAGTTCACTCCGGGGTTCGAATCCCGGTAAACGGGCTGGTTGCATGGGCGTTTTCGTGGATTTTCTCATGTGTACCGTGTATGCCAGCTGGTTTCCCTTAGAAAGTTCTTCACGAAGTATTTGGTCAGAGCCTTTATCAGTCTTTAGAGGCTAAACATTTTGAAGGTATGAGATGAAAGGAAAGACTGGTTTCATCAAGAGGTTTTGGTTTATTTAATTATGACAAAGCACACTAGGGCTATCTGCCTAAGGGGAGGGATGCCTTCGTGGAGGACTTTCTAAGGGAAACTGGCTCGCATACACGTTACACATGGGGAAAACCACGAAAACGCCCATGCAGCCAGCCCGTTCGCGGGATTCGAACCTCGGACCGAACTACCAGTGTTCAGCGACTTTACCGCTCGGCCGCTGTTTCATCAGGAGAGAGGAAAAAAACATCTTTAGGTGACATCCACATACATCACTGGATAAATTCCTGAATCTTCAAATAATTCGACTGAGAAAATCATGGGATTCTCCATTTATGATACGATATGATGTTCTATAACGTAATTTAAATTTATACAACCATATAGTTTAAAACCAGTCGCTCTTCACTTTAATCTGCAATGATATCGTTTTTGTCTTTTCTGTTAACACAAGCTCAATTGATGGTATTTGCTGGTGTACACGTCCAAGTGTTTTCTCTTTGAACACCTAAATTCTTTGAAGTATCCTGAAAGTATATTCAAAAGCGTCCAACTTTTTGAAACATCTTGGTATGTCTGACAGCCAAATTTCCCTGCAAATGTTTGCTTACTTTTCTCCCTAATTTTCTTCTTTCCTTCTACAGTTATTTTCAGTGCTCACACAAGAAAATTAAGATTTTTCGATTGCTAGACTTCCATACAATTTTGCATTCTTGTCAATTTTTTAAAATATCAATTACATGAATTGCGTTTTTCAGCTGAAAGACAGCTTTTCATTTTCTAGTCATTTTAACTATAAATAAAGTTTAAAGCGAAGTCCAAAGGATAAATATTTTAATTAAAAGATTTTTGCTAAATGACAAAGAAATAAAACAGTCCAGCAGGGTTTATTCTGTACCACCGAGTAACCCGATTCTTATATCGGCTGAAACAATCTAAATCATATTAAAGATCATGTTTTTTTATACAATCTATAACGCGAGAGAAAAATTAAAAACATGAGGATTAATATAAAAGATTATATTTATATATATATTTTTAAAGCTGGGACTTGAACCAAACTGTCAAACTTTTAAAGTTTTTTACATGGTGGTTATTAAAGTTCCAATTTGAAATGGTCATAAAAGGAAAACTACCGGACCAAATGTTATCAAACTTGGGAATCGTGTAAAGGAGGTTATGGGAATTTATTTTCAGCGGGGGAAAAAAAAAAGAGTTCAAAAACTCACCACCAGGGGAAAAATGGCGCTGTATACAATATTGTTAAATGAAATAAGACACGAAAACATCTGTTTAAAATGTGTTTAATATTTTCCGAAACGTGTTACAAAGCATGTTCAATGTAGCGTCCAGCATTTTCCGAAAGCAAGTTAAATCCTGTTACTGCATTCTCAACAGCAGCTCTTAGCATATCAGGAGGAATGTTACGGACATGTCAGTGTATCACATTTTTCATTTCTGCCAAATTGTTTAGATTATCACCATAAACAGTGCTTTTGAGA